CTGCTGGAAGGAATGGTGCTAGCAAAGGCATGCTGGTAAGGAATGCAGGGAAATGAAAATTTGGGGGAGCAGTGCATGTTCATTTTAGTTTAAGTAGAGCTCAATTGGAAGATAGGATCTCTGAATGGAAGAGTTCCCTTAGGATCAGGATGGCATTTTCCAGCCTTGGTAGCGATGAGGAAGATGGTTGGCAGAGGGAAGAAAGTTGAATAAGAATGTAGATTCCACGTGTTGGTCTTGGCTCCAGGGGGGAAAGTCGCTGAGAAATGACCAGAATCCAGATCCTTCGCAGCCACTGCCACTGCCACGAGTACTGGAGCTTTATAGAGGTTGCTCCCTGCCAGTTCACCCCCTTCTTCCTAAGTGACCTTTGCCCAGACTCCGGCCTGGTCTACTTCATGAGGGGCTATAAGGAAACCTCAGAGCTACACTGGACTCAGGCTGAGAGCCTTCCATCTCTCATGTCCCAGTCCCAGTTGTGAAGAAGGGCCAGTAAGTGAGGAAAGAATTGAAGGGAAGTGTTTGCACCTTCGCCTGCAGCAGAACTCCTCCTGCACACCCCTTCCTCCACCTGCAAGGGTGTCTGCTTGAGTCCAGTAGGAGACACGCTACCACCTTCCTACACTGGTCCCTTGGGAGAAGAGCACTTCCCAGATACTAAATCTAAAGAGGAATCAGAAAAGTTTCCAAGCTGGAACTTGTTTTCTAGATTCAGAACTGAAGCCTTTTCATTCTGCACACTGGAAGTTCTCTGAGTCTTGGCACCAGGGCCCAAGATGATGCCTGTACCCCGGTGCTGACAGGAGAGATAGGGTGAGCTATGTTGCCTCTGCTAGTGAGAATAGGTGAATGGAGGGGCAGAGGATGGGGGCTGGCAAGGCGGGGATGGCTGAAGTGAGAGACCACGGAGGTGAGATTAGTGAGACAAAGGAAAAAGTCACCCAGGGGTTGAGTACTGACTGCCTTCACAGCCTTGCTGTCACCGCTTGGACGTCTGTCTGGCAAGTACCTCAAATTCTGCATCTCCCAAACGGGATTCCTGGGCTCATCTCCTGTCCAGCTCCCCTCACGGCCTCCCTGCCTGAGAGCACGGACTGACGACCTCGTTGCTCAGGCCAGGAACCTCGGAGTCACCCTTGATTCTCCTGTGCCTTTCACACTTCATATCCAGTCCTCCAGGAAGTCCCAGAGGCTTTCTTATCAGAGTCTATCCTGACTGTCTGTCCTCCCACCTGTGCTGCAAGCACCCTGGTCTAAACCATCTGTCACCCTCATCATGGCGATAGCTTCCTGCCTAGTTCTTTCCCTGCCTGCTGCTGCTGTTCTAAATTCTGTAACTAGAGTAGTCTTTTAAAAATAGGAGTCAGATCTTGTCACTTTTCTGCTTCAAACCCTGAATGGCTTTTCCACTATCTCCTGAGTAAAGGCCAGCAGTCCTCACGGTGGCCCTCATGCTCCCACAACATCTGGCCCTTCCACCCCCATTCCCTCCCTCAGCTGTTACCTCTGTGTCCTCACCGACACTCCCTTGCCTCCAGTCTCACTGGCTTCTTTGCTTCTTCTTGTACTCACCAGGCACACTCCTACCTCATGGCCTGGGCATGAGCTCTTCCCTCTCTGTGGAGTGCTGTTTTTCCACAAGTCCACAGGGCTCACCCTCCCGTATGTAATACCTTAGGAGGCTGTAATCTGTTTTGATTTGGTGTCATGGAGATTACCCGTGGTTTAGAGCAGAGAAACAGATTCTTTTTTTTTTTTTTAATTTTTTATTTATTTATGATAGTCACAGAGAGAGAGAGAGAGAGAGAGACAGAGACACAGGCAGAGGGAGAAGCAGGCTCCATGCACCGGAAGCCCGATGTGGGATTCGATCCCGGGTCTCCAGGATCGCGCCCTGGGCCAAAGGCAGGCGCCAAACCACTGCGCCACCCAGGGATCCCCAAGAAACAGATTCTTTTATGGAATCCTGTAGGCCTTCTTATCTACTGATTAATGAGAATGAAACTACTGTTGGTTTTTAAAGACAACTGGGACTGCACAGAGGTGTGTATGGTGCATTTCACATTTCATCCAAGGAGCACAATTTTGTGTGGGGCAGTGCATTAAAGGCAGGCCGGCTGCGATGGGTTCACTAATTCGCCATGTGCAAGGTTTGTGTTTCTCCAATCATTGAAGGTTGTAGGCGTTCTTATTTAAAAGATCAATGCATGGGCAGCCCAGGTGGCTCAGCGGTTTAGTGCTGCCTTCAGCCCAGGGCATGATCCTGGAGACCCGAGATCGAGTCCCACGTCAGGCTCCCTGCATGGAGCCTGCTTCTCCCTCTGCCTGTGTCTCTGTCTCTCTGTCTCTCTCTCTTTCTCTCTCTCTCTCTCTCTCTCTCTCTCTCTCATGAATAAATAAATAAAAATCTTTTAAAAAATAAATAAAATAAAAGATCAATGCAAATAGTGTTCAAGGAACACTTGGTGTAATTTGTTATATATGTCTCAATGTTTAGTAATTTTGAGCCTCAATTATGCCGTTGAACCTAAAATATATAAATGAATAACACATCTGCAGTGTTGCTATTTTAGTTGATTTATTTATTCTTTGGATTTTTAACCTCTTTATTTTCACATAATCTTCAAAAGATTCGTTATAAAAATAGCAAATTTGATAGAGCATGAGTTTTGAGACCAGCGGGCATTCATTTTAGTTCTTTACCTTACTAGTAATTATTAGTATGAACAAGTTATTTAATGTTTGTTTGTACATTTTATTGTCTGCAAAGCAAAGATTCTAATTCTTTTCCTCGTTGGGTTGTTGCTAGGATCAGATGTGGCATGTTGTATATGTTGCTAGGTCAGGTACTGGCTCTGAGTAGTTGTTGGCTGCCACTTGGAACGCATTTCCCTTTGGATGTGGAAGAGTACAGTGGTGTTTTGGGATAGTTCAGGAAGACATCTTTGATGACTTTGAAAGCAAAACTCCTGTTTGTAGCTGAGTACCACTGAACCCATTTTTTGTTTTTGTTTTAAAATTTTTAGTTGAAAACACCTCTTTATTCTTTCCACTGTCCACCCCCCACCCCCATGTCCAGAGTCCATGGAAACATACCATGTGTTCTCTCCTCCTTTAGTCTGTGAGCACATAAATAAGCACACAGTTACTTAGATGTGTGCTCGGTGTGTTGATGTCATGGGCAGAAATAAAGATGGAGCTTGTCTTCCGTTAAGGAGCTTATTTCTGGAGGACCTCTCCACTTTTTCAGTTAAGACCAGATTTTATTTGGTTCAGCATTTATTCACCTTCTACCATGTACCAGGGACATTGCTGGACTTGGGGATTTAAAACTGCAAAAGAAGTGGTTCTAGTTCTTGGGGAGAATAGACAGAAACATGTGGTTACCCTGTGTCTGTGCATTTCATGACAAAAGTACTGCTGGACTGGGAAGGCATGTAGGTGATGATTATCTTGCTGTCCCAGGGGAGGTGGGGCAAGGTGGCAGTATTGGGTGTGAGCCCATTCACATGCACATCTCCCTCCCAAACTTCCCCTGTTCTGTGATCACTGTTTCATTTAAGGGCATAAAGCTGGCCAAAGGATTAGTAAGCATGTTCTCTGGACTTCCAAGGAAAGGCCCAATGTCAAATACTCTGCCTTAGTCTGGCTCTGCATCTCCTTTTTGGTTTGGGAAATAAAATCATCATGCAGGAACAGGGAAGCAGAAAATGCCACATTAGTTATCTTGAAATATTGGCCAGATTTGTTTTGAGGGCAAGGGAACAGGATTGAGGTCATCATCAAGAGAAGAACCTAGGAGTCTACAGCAATGGGATGCCTGCCTGATGGACCTGTGGGCTACTTCCAGCAGGATGCCCATTAGCCTTCTTGCTCCCAGCTCTTGCCCTCACTGAGTGTGTTCTTCTGTCTCATTAAGGATCACATATGTTCATGGAGCACTCACCTTGTGCTGCACACTGCCCCCGGATAGCTACAGGGGTATGTGTCCTGCTGTCCAGGAGCATCTCTTATTGGGGAGGTCACGTACACTTGAATCCTAGGATGAGCAGCTCAAATTGAACATGGAGGAAGGGACCCTAGGGATTATCATCTGTTCATTTCACTGTACTGGTCTGGAATCTGAAGCCAGAAAGGCTATGTGTCTCTGCCTAGGCATTACATCAATTTTTCTTCTTCTGTACTCCAGTGACTGCTTGTCCTCCTTACTAAAAAACTTGTATGGATTGGCTTTCAATACAAGGCATCCTCCCTTCTTCCTCTCTGGAACTTCCTTCCTTCCTGGCACTTTTCTAGGGCGTGTGTGTTTGTGTGTGTGTGTGTGGCAGGGGGTAAGACCAAACCACTGCCCCCCAGAAGCATTTGCTTTGAGAGCTAGTAACAAGCAAAATCTGTAGTATTGGTAAAGCAGGGAAGAGCGGGGGTTGGGATTGCAGGTTTAAGTGTGGTGGTTAAGAGGTCAGACCTCTTTGAGGAGGTGACATTTGAGGAGGGACCTGAGAAGATGTGAACAGGGTGCTCAGGAGAGAGGAGACCCTGGCCGGTGGCAGCATAAGGAACAGAGGGCTCTGTGTTCCAGAAACCTCCTGACGTTGATGGATATCAGGCGTGTCTGTACATTGTCACTGCATAAGCATTTGGGGCGGTGGAAAGCAATGAAGCACTTCAGTCAGGTGGCCAGGGTGTTGCTTGTTATGGGGTTAAGTTGGGCTTGAGACATATTGGTGGGAAGCATCCTATGTGACCTGAAATTCCTCAAGGTGTGAGTAGTTGTGACCAGAGTCAGATTATGGGACCCCTCTGCTTTAATCACGGGCAACCCAAAACAACAAAGCCATTCTTCTTCCCATGGCTTTCACAAAACTTCACATATTTTTCCATGAAGCAGCCAAGTGGGCCCACAAGGATAACATGTTGGCCAGATTTGTTTTGAGGGCAAGTGTGTTGCACAGGATGTTTCAGCAGAAGAGCTTATAGATGATCTCCCTTTTGTATTTCAGACAGCCCATCTGAGGATACTGACCTTAAGGATACATATCTCATCCCAAGAAACATCATGGCCGAGCCAGACTACATAGAAGATGACAATCCTGAGCTAATTAGGCCTCAGAAACTAGTCAATCCTGTCAAAACGTCCCGCAACCATCAGGATCTTCACAGAGAACTTCTCATGAATCAAAAAAGGTATTATAGTGGTTTCTCGAGCAAAGTTTGACTTTGGGGACTTTAACTTCAGAGATTTTTTTTTTAAATTCTTTTCTTGACTGTATTTAAGGCTGTCTTATTCCTTCTAGTCTGACCCAGGGCATCCCTCCATGTAATAAGGTCATCTGCGTAGCTGCCACTACCACTCTTACTCCATGATCTACAGGACTCTGTCGCCTTCTCAGATGGACATATATTGTAGAATTTGGATGGAAGGGGATTGATTAAGGATAAAAGATAATATCCTAAGTTGAAGAGAAATACATTATTTCTTGGATTCGTAAAAACTCTGAATTTGCTCCTTACATTTGGGGAAATGTAGGAATCACATGTAATACTGCCTGCTTTAGCCTTTGTGAGTGGCAAGGCGAAGTCTCTAGAACTACATCAACTTAATAATAGACAAGACCCCTCTTTCTTTTTTTTTAAGTAACATTAAAATTATTACTATGATCATTTTTATTGTGAATTTTTTTAAAGGGAAGAAAACATTTGCCTTTTATCTTCTTTGTAGACCATTTGTCAGCTCTACGTGTGTCATAAAAATGACAAAAATGTTTGGATGTTGGGTTGACGTCTGCTTTTTAAGTGATTTTGGGCAGGGCCAATTGACTAGGCGAGCTGAAGATACAAAGGTACTTTTTATGTATTAGGACACAAAATTACTTACATTATCCAAAACCTATTAAGCTTCAGAGCTTAATAGAGCTATTCGCAGACCTTCAGAATGAAATTGTTGATCTGAATTGTGGGACCACAGGTCAGTCATCCCCTCACTCTTTGCCAAGCAAGCCCTAGTTAGCTAACCATTGAACTGAAGGATATGTAGACCAAGGTAAGCAGAGGGTCATGTTTTAGATGGAAGGCCTAATTTAAAAACAAAAAAATATAAAGAGGTTGTGATGGGGCAGTCCTCCTTCCCTCATGTACCCCTGCCAGAATTTGTAACTCCTGCTGAGGCGTTCATTGTCAATCGCCCTTCCTCCAGCCTGGGAATGTGACTTACTATCTTCTTTTTGTTACCAGCATGTACTAGTATGCCATTGGATTCATGCTGATGAAATTGAATGCAAGTTTGATCCATTCTGAATAAGTGCTTAGCTTCTAACTGTCTTTGTCACATAGAAGGAAAAAAAAATACAGATTTGGTATCATCATGCTCAAAGCAAAACAAGAATATGTACATTCCTAAGTAGGCCACAGAATTTGGAGGCAGTCTTGTCTGGGAAATGATGCCTGCATTTTGATACGAAGATCACAAGTTTGATATGCTCCAGAAGAGGAGCAGTCAGCACTAACTACTTTCCTTCTTGGACCTCAGTTCCTTTATCTGTAAAACGGGAATAGGGGACTCCATTGATCTCTGAGGGACATTTTCTCTCAAACAAGGGTTGGTTTGTTTTTCTGTTCTATTTATGAATAAAGGCTCCAAGTCAGAATAGAGGCAAAGGTAAAACCAACATTGGCAGAACAACTGTTCTCTGAATTAGAGGCTACAAATTATTCCACAGAAATGTATTTAGCACCCTGGGTTATATATCTCTAGAAAGTAGAGAATCTGTTGCCAGATTTTCTAGAATACACACTTTTATGAAAATGGACCTCCCTTCTGCCTGATGTTCTCTAGCCTGAGATCCCTTGTCCTTGTTCACACGGTGACTCTAGCCAGGCCCAGCTCCAGTAATCTGGGAGATCAGTCTGTTCCCTTGAGTACCACAGTGTAGAGAGGATGTTGCTTTGAGGTTAGAGGGAAATCATCCAAATCCTGGTTTGCCATTTGACTTGACCTACCTTTATGACCTTGGACAAGATCCGCCTTCCTGAGATGTGGCTTCATTTATAAAGTGGGGAATAAAAAAGATCCTTCTTCTAAAACTTAAAGAATAACAGGTCCAAAGTCCTACTAAGATGACTGGTGTATAATAAATATAACAAACAGATGACTCTGCCATCCATGGTCTGTTCTCAGGGAGCATCTTCAAGAAATCCCCATTGCTTCTCCCTCTTTTCCTCTGAGGGGCGCTGGTGTGGCTTTTGAAGTACATCAAGAGGGGTGGAGGGGGAAGGCAGTAAGGCAGGTTTCCAAATAAAATGAATGTATCTCATCCTATGTTTCCAGGTTTTTCAAGATAGAAATTGTAGTTTGGTGGGGGTCCTCTCATTAGAAATGACAACTGGTTTGTGAGAAACCTCTCCAGCAGTTTCTTCTCTTTATTCATCTTCCATCATGTACTTGCTAGGGACTTTGTTTTTTTTTTTTTTTTTCCTAAATTTTTGTGCCAAATGACAGGAAGTTTCACATGGATAATATGTGTGTTTGGTTATACAGGATAATTATACTTGATTATTGTTTCAGATCGTAACAAAAGTCTGCTTACTTTCCTACAATTAGTCAAGGGCCTTCCCGTATTTTATCTTACCCAGTGATCTTTCCAGTAACCCAGCGTGTATTATCGTGGGGTCACCCTTATTTGATGTGTAAATAAGAGAAAACTCAGAATAAACATGGAATTAAAGGCAGTTCATATAGATAAGGCAAGTAATATTATTGGGAAAAAAAGAGAAAAGAGTGGAGACAGCAGTGAGATCAGCATGCGACAGGTGTTCTGTGAAGCCCTGCACCTTTGCATATGCACAAATATGGCTCACAGCCCTGGAGCAGGTGGTTCACAGAGTTTTTCAGGTTACATTTTAAAAGTCAAGATAAAAGCAGCATCACTACTTTTACTTCTAAGTATTTTAGCTCTGAAACCTATACCCTTTCAAGGATCTAATTCTCCTCTACTTTGCATCTTCAGACCTAGCTAAGTTTTTTAGCTCTGAAACCTATACCCTTTCAAGGATCTAATTCTGCTCCTCTACTTCGCATCCTCAGACCTAGCTAAGTTTCAGATTAAAAATCTTTAAATTTTAAACTGGTGACAGTCTGCCATTTTGTCTGATTCTGAGGACCCTTGGTCAGGTTCTCAGGTTCTGTATGTGTTACAATGGCATCATTTCAAGAGGCATTATTTTTCGTAGTTGACAGATGGGTGTTCAAGAGGTCTCTTAAATAGAGATATTTCTCATATAACCTAGAGAGGTTCTATTTTCTCTATTAAGTGTACTTTTGGCCACAAATATAGAATATCCAGTCATTTAAACATACCCCGAAAATCGATTCTTTGACTTTACCTTCCAGTCAGTGGTTTCCAGTTCTCTATGCTTTTAGTTGATCATTTTACATGCTTTGCTAGTCATAGAGTTAGTTCTTCAATAAATACTTGTTGCTGTACCACATGGAAAAAAATAATAGGAAGTTGAATTACAAATGTTTGCTTTTATAAGCCATGTAGGTAGACATGGCTCAAGCCAAAAATGTAGATAAGACAGGCCAGGGCAGCCCCAGTGGCTCAGCGGTTTAGTGCCGCCTTCAGCCCAGGGCCTGATCCTGAAGACCTGGATAGAGTCCTACGTCGGGCCCTCTGCATGGAGCCTGCTTCTCCCTCTGCCTGTGTCTCTGCCTCTCTCTCTCTCTGTCTCTCATGAATAAATAAATCTTTAAAAAACAAAAAAGAAAGAAATCCTTCAATCAGTTTTTCCTCTGCATGTGCCTCTGCCTTTCTCTCTCTCTCCCTCTCCGTGTCTCTCATGAATAAATAAATAAAATCTTAAAAAAAAAAAAAAAGACAAGCCATACCAGGAGATTCCAAGATTAAAGGTCAAGGGCTTGAAATCCAAAGGCAGCCCTCCCCCTTCACCCTAAGAAAAAGATTAGGCCAGAGATGTTTGGCTGGGTGGGTAGGGGGTGATTCTGTTAGGGTTTGCACCCGCCCTTGCCTCTGGCTCCATAGGCTTTCTGCATCTGGGATGGAGGTGGAGTGAGTGTAGACCCCTCCATCCCACCCCTGGATGTATTCAGCAGTTCTACTTCTGTGAATCTAGCCAACAGAAATACTTACATAGGAGCGTAAGTATACACATGCAAGGAAGTTCATTGCCTCATTGCCTTTAATAGGGGAGATTGAAAACAGCCTAAAAATGTCTGTCAAGGGAGTGGAAAATTATGGCATTTCTGTACTGTGGTATCTTGGGCAGATGTTGGGAAGAATGAGGAAGAGCTCTGTAAGGCTATGGAAAGTATGGAAGAGCACAGACCAAACTCTTAGTTATCTCTGGGTGTAGGAACAGGAAGCATTGTGGGACAAGGGCCACCCACCACGGTGTACCTTATACAGTTCTGTCCACATAGAAGAATACAATGTAAGTGGTACTCCAAAGATTGGTTTAACAGGAATAGTTTGGGTGTGCTTTTACTCCTTATTTCACATATATTTATGTTTCCTAACCAATTTTTTGTAAAAAGCACATACTAATTTTTCTAATTTATTTTTTTTTGGGAGGAGGGACAGAGGGAATTATTGGGGACCGGGGGTGGGGCAGAGGGAGAGGGAGAAAGAAAGTTCAGCAGATTCCGTGCTGAGTGGGGATCCTGACACAGGTTTCGATCTCATGACCCTGAGACCACAATTTGAGCTGAAACTAAGTCAGATGCTTGACCAACTGCACCGCGCAGATACCCCTAGAGCACATATTAATTTAAAAATTGTCTTGGCCTTCTGTCACGTCACGGCCACTGAAAGACTCAGAAATAACTGCTGGTGTTGATTGGTTCAAAGCCACCAGGACTTGAGCACCTGTCAGTCATAAAGGAATTGAAAGTACTTATTAATTATATATGTCAGAATTGATTAAAGCGAATCAACTGTTAACCAAGCACAGAATGACATTGTAGTCTTTATGAGATTTGGAGAGGCTCATTTCTGTCTTTGGGCACGCTTTCTGCAATCTGATCCAGTTTTCAACTCATAATCATATGGGCAAAGCTTGACTTTTTCCATTCAGCCCAGAAAGTGATCTGCTGTGATAAAATATTAACTAAATTTGTATGACTTTTTGACTGCTGTAAGTGCAGAACATTTATCAGATAAGCACCATTTTCCTGAGCCTTCTGTGACTAAATATTTTGTCTTACTGCCACCATTGTGTAAAATCTTTGACTAGAAAATGAATACTGGATATTAGTTAAACCCATTCATAGGCTGCAACAGAATGTCAGCTTAGTGTTCATACATCAAAGTTTGTTCAACAGCCTTTGCATAATCCAGAAGAATTTAATAACCATTGAGGTTAATTTTGTCAGTAAAATAAAGGGAAAGGAAAATGTTTGAAATTTAAATTACGCAGATAGCTAAATTCTTAATCCTAAAATTTAAATCCCTTAATTCTGTCTGTGGTATCACACTGAGGCTTTTTAATAGTCATGAAACTGAGTGGGTCTTTACTCAGATTATCATACAAACAAGTTTTCCTACATTTGCTGTGAGCAAAGTACCATAAGCACATAATATTTTTTTGCACATATTTAATTTCCAGAATCATCTGTCCATACTTCTATAGATATTTTAAGATCTTAATAACTGCAAAACAAACTATAAGTTATAAAAGTTACACATGTCTTTTGCTGCTTTTTTTGGCTGAATTTTAATACTTTTTTATCAAAACTTCTAGTGAAAAGTGGCAAAATGGAGCCATATGTTATTTTGACTCTCTTTTATCGATGGAATATACTGATCTTTACTCTGTAAACAACAATTTTGAAAATTTTCTGATTTGAAAAAAATGTAGGTAGGAGAGATGCCAGAATTTTTAAAAACTATAGTTAAATAAATGAAGCAGTGTGAAATTAAGAATTCATTTGTAAATGTGGTAGTGTGTACTTGAAAGACTCTGAGATGAGTGTGTTGTTAAGTTTCTACAACCAGAGCACACACTTTAGTAATTATTTAACAGTTTCTTAGATGACTCCTAGATGCTGAGACCCATTGGTTGATTGACATAGTGTAGAGAACAACCACCCAGGTATACATTCCTGATTTACAGGCTAGCAATCACCATCAACAGGACCAGGAGGTGCATGGGAAGGTGCTTGGGTTCATCTCAGTTCTGGGTGGATTCAGCAGGGCCTTTTGTTGCTGCCCAGAAAAGCCTGAGTCACTGTCAGGTCAAGTGTGCACGTGTGTGGAAGCATGAGAGTAAACACCCCCACCATCACTTACACCATGTGCTGCCTGAAATTGACAGTGTTCTTTCTGTTTTGTGGGTTTTTTTTTTTTTCATTTTAAATGTTCTTACTAAATGTTAATATCAAGTTGAGATGACTTACAAGCTAGTGGAGACTTGCTACAGAGAAAGGGAAGACAAGAGAGGCTGGCTGAGCGAGCACCTTGAAAGCCTGTCCTACAGAAGTCTTAAGGAAATGGTAGAAAACTGAGACAAGGAGTGTCCTTGCTAATGGTTAAACATAGACATTCCATCTAAGGAAATGCCCTTGACTTACCTCAGACATTTTGGGTGGAGGGGTAGTAGAGAATGGTCTAAGTTTTGGTTTTGTTTCTCCCATCTAAAGAGATGGCAGCCTAATTTATCTCTTAGAAATGTAGAACTTCCTGTAACCTGGTTTCCATCCATCAGTAGAAAACGACACATCTGAAGTGGTTCCATAGTGAGGAGCCCTGGGGGTGGTGGGATCAGAGTTCCCTGCTGCCACACATCCCCAGGATTGATGACATTTTAGACATCTCTGGAGATATTCAGGAACTCTCTGACAAAGTTGAGAATTTTGGAAGGGTCTAGCGCCATTTTGCTGTTTAAATTTCTGTGCTGGCCTATCTTTAGGCTGCTTTTAGTACATGGGATCAGGGGCTCCATCTTGGGAAGCTTTCCCTAAAACTTCAAGTGGAGGCACCTCATATTCTGGGCATCTCTATCATCACCATCTCCATCTCTATCATTATCTTCTTCACTATCTCCATTGTCTTCATCTCTGTCTTTTTTTTTTTAAGATTTTATTTATTTATTCATGAGAGAGAGACGAGACCCTGGCAGAGGGAGAAGCAGGCTCCACGCAGGCAGCCCTATGTGGGACTCGATCTCGGAACTCTGGGATCACACCCTGAGCCAAAGGCAGACACTCAACTGCTAAGCTACCCTGGCATCCCTCATCTCTGTCTTCTGTGTCATCTTCACCATCTTTATCTTCTCCATCTCCGCTATCTCCATTGTCTTCATCTCCATCGTCTCCATCATCATGAGTGATCGTGATTGAATGAGTGATTGAATGAGCATGCTATTCCAACCTTCCCCACTCTAAACCTTTGCATAGGCTAGTATCTGGCACATAGTGGGTGCTTAATACATTTTTAATGAGTGAGTGGATTTTGCTAATAACTCCTGGAAGTTGTTCTTGCCCTTTTTTTCGTGTTTGAATTTCTCATACCACCAGTATTGACTAACTGGTAGCAGGCATCATAGTAATGTTAACTTGGTAGACTCCTGTTCTGTGGCTGACACCTTAAATTAAGTTTCTGTTTATGAAGGATGTGTCCATTAGATTAAAACCCTTTTTTTTAGGTTTTGTTGTTATTTTTTTGTTATTTTTTGCAGGGGTCTTGCCCCTCAGAACAAGCCGGAACTGCAGAAGGTGATGGAAAAGAGAAAACGAGATCAAGTAATAAAACAGAAAGAAGAAGAAGCACAGAAGAAGAAATCTGACTTGGAAATAGAACTATTAAAACGGCAGCAGAAGCTGGAACAGGTGAGAGTACTGGGGATGAAGATTGTCTTTTTCCTTTAATGAGTTATATTTGACATATATATCAAGTATTGTATAAGTTTAAGGCATGCAGCATGTTGAATTGGCACATTTATGTTGTGGTATGTCTGCCCCTGAAGCTTAGCTAGCCCCTCTATCACATCACATAGATACCTTTTCTTGTGGTGCTGGCAACAGTTGAGATCCAGTCACTTAGCAAGTTGAATGTTCATAGTAGAGTTTTGTTGATTGCAGCCAACAAAACTGTACTGTGTGTATCAGGTCTCCAGGACTTATATAGCTACTGGTTGTAAGTACATACCCTTAAACAATCTCTCTCCCATTTCCCCAGCCCCTGGAAGCCACCACTTTACTCTCCTTTACAGTTTTAGTGGTTATCTTTAGAGTCTACCTATGAGAGAGATCATGCAGTATTTGTCTGTGTTTGACTCATCTCAAATGTTATTGTTTTTGTCCTGAGAAATCAGGATATTGGAACAAGCCGAATTTGCCAGACATAGGCGATGTGAATGTTTTTTGCACAAAAGGAAAATATGAGCCACAGTGTCAGCAAAGGGGCTAAAATACATTCAAAGTAAAGACAAAGATTCTGCTGAGGACCTAGATTCAGGAAGTAAAGCCCGGACTGGGGAATATCACTGAACTCACAACGGAGCATTGGGAGCACAAGCAATCGAGTGAAATTGAACTTCACTGAGATTACATGCAGAGTCAACTGTGCCCTGGTCTCAGGATCTGGTTTGGTTAGCCTTGATTTTGGGTTCTCATCATCTCTGGCATTGCTGGTAGTACCAGCCAGGGAGCTGCTGCTCCTGCACAGGATGACTTCAGGGCCTGTACACATATGCCCTTTTATATACATGTGAGGTGGAGACCAGGGGAAACTTTCTCCCACTGGGAAATAGAAGGTGTTAGGGACTTTGGAAAGAGGAGGAATATTTGCAAAGCCTCTCAGTATGTGAATAATTTTCCTGTTTCTGAATTTCATTTAGCAAGAACTTGAGAAGCAGAAATTGCAAGAAGAACAAGAAAATGCCCCCGAGTTTGTGAAGGTTAAAGGCAATCTCAGAAGAACAGGCCAAGAAGTGGCACAAGTGCAGGAGTCCTAGGCCCTGGCGACAGAGACCACGCATGCGCCACACCCACTCACTCCGTGGGGAAGCTGTGAGCAGGCGCCTCCTCAACACTTAATCTCAGGGCCAGAGCCCCTGGAGAGAACCCCAGCCAGCAGAGAATTGTTACTTTAAAAAAGATTTAGCTTTGATTTTCCTACAATCTAGGTGGATAAATGATCTGTGATGGTTGCAATTCCTATTCACCAAACGAAGGACATTGACCAGCACTTAAGTTGGGATAAATGAACCTGTGTTCATAAGACATAAAACAAAAAAAACAAACATCACAAAGCAGAACAGAAAGAGGACATTGGAATAAATTCTTGAGAGTTGCACTACCTGGTTTTTCTTCCAGTCCAGGTTTAATGGGGCACAGAGCCTTTTTTCTTTTAAATCTAAAGAAAATGTGTTTTGTTTCTTCCTTTAGTTATCTGTTAGATAATTTAAATCACATAGGAAGGTGTTTGATCTGTTACATCCAGTATTTGTAAATTTCCTTTTGTGAATCTAGAATTTTCTTGTTTGGTTACGCTTTCACCTGTGTTAGATCGACACCTGACAATGTTAATGTTGAGCACAGCTGTTAACCTTAGTTGGCATTAAGATTCAGGAAGAGGGTGAGAAGTTTTAAAAATATGGAGGAAAAAATACATAAAAATTCGGAAACAAATATATGTAAAAGATAGGAAAAAAACCCCACATAAATCTTGATCTTATTTTAATTCCTTTTGGTTCTCGGATACTAGAATGCTCCACAGTGATTATTCCAGTTCAGAGAAGGCACATCATATAAATCCATTTATTGTTTTGATAACTGGTAAGAATTTTGTTTGCTTTTTCAATTTCTTGCTGAGCTAGTCCTTTTATACATGAAACAATCTCCCGATCCTTCAGAGAAGAAAAATGAGTCCATGTAACGCAGCTTCAGTCTCAAAAGTAGAGAGTCCAGATCTTTGAGAACAGGGTGGGGAAAGCTCCCATGGGAAGCTGGGCAAGGAGGACTTCTTTGGGTATTTTAATGTGAAACAAACGTAGGCTGGTCTCCAGGAGGCCGAGCTGAAAGGTCGGTGGTAGCATTTGTACATTTTGATTTTCATTAGAATCCCAAGTTTTGAAAACCAGATTAAGGATCACATACTGCTTTGCTTTTTTTTTTTTTTTTTCTTGTGAAGAAAGATTGCTCACTGCTCTGTTGGCGGTGACGACTACTGTACTGCATCTCAGGAAGTGCTGAGGTGAAGGGGAGAGGCTGCCTGGCGTCTGCATGCTAGCCAGCTCGCGGTCCAAAGTGAAGTCCCAGTCCAGCAGCAAAGTCCTGATCCAGAGTGCTTTTTTTTTTTTTTTTACTGCTGGTCTGGGCAGGGGTATATTCTACATGAGGTGATCGGAGGAATTGAGGAGGATTCTGTGTGTTTCCATTGAGGTGATTCGGCCAGTCACTCTCACATCGAAGAGTCGTCTTAAACTTCCTTTAAAGGCTCCATAGGAAACTGGATCCTGAGCTTTTAATCCTAATAAGCATTGTAGAAATTAGCTTTCTATGGGAATGCTTTAGTTTTCATAGTCAACAGGCTCATATTCAATCCTCATGTGAACCAGATAAAGGTAAACACGATGACAATATACTGCTAGTCAGAGGACACGTCAGTCACACCTGACTTCTCAGTAAATATCTCTGAAGAGAATATGAGATGGTTAAGATAAAGTGTTGCTCTATGATAGTTTGCTTTCAAAGGATGGAACGGTAACTATTTTTCCATCCTAGCTTTTGCAAGAAGAAAGTCTGTTAAATGATCATCTTGAAAATACATTCTGATAGCACATTGACTGGAATGCTTTCTTTGTGCATCTGGACTCATGATGAGATTTGCGAGGTGAGGATTCAGGACTGGTCATAGCCTTTCACCCGACTGGATGTTGGATCTTAAGTCCTGCGCCCTTGAAGCAGTTCTGCTGCTCGATAACATTCTCAAGGGCGCTGACAGGCTACGGTAGCAGGACTGCTTCTGTTGCCACGATTCACCTAGAATTCATTCTTCACCGGGAAGAAAAATTAAAAAAGCATTTCCCTCCCAATCGCACTCACCAGACTGCACAGTGACATGTAGTGAGTAGTACAAAGTCTGGCCAAAAGACTTGTAAATAGTATGAAGTGATGTCTCGGGACCGGACAGTGGAATGTACAGGTAGAGAAGCTCTGCGAAGTTGTCTGCTCCGCTCGGCTCACAGGCCTGAGCTTCAGGGCGCCCGTCTCCGCTCCACACATTGATACTGTACAGTCCAAACTCCTAGGACTTGTGAACATCTGAGCAGTTTTGTGCTTTGAGCCACTTTTTGACAAAGAATGGCTCCATTTTTCCACTCTATGGTTTTCTTAAAATAGTTCACTGTTTTATAGTCTCCTGGTAGTAAAGTAGCGTTGCTTTCTAAGCTACAGCAAACAGTTGACTTTATTCTTCTACTCCGAAAAATCTTGACTTGTTTGAGTGTATATAATATATATAAAGGGAGCCTTAATGGATTTGTTTTCATAATTTAATATTTTTTGTATTTGCTCTTGTACAATTGTTTTTAATGGAAAGTATTACAGAATTGAGGGTGGAATTCTTAGAACCAAAGTTATTCTTAATAAAAATCACCACATGCTTGGACCATGAAGCTGTGTTTGTCTGATCTGTTGGCGATGGATGTCTGGCGCTACAGGTGGGGGTGCTGTGTTCAGCTCAAGGAGCAGAGAAGGTGCTTTTAGGGTCTTCCTTTGGTGACCGCCACCCCCTCCCCGCCCCAAATCAGTTACCTCTGCCTTGTTTCAGGCTGACAATTCACTGTGTCAAATTCATGCTTAGAGATCATCTACTTTTTGTATAAAGAATGTTGTATTTTAGCAGCCACTGCCATTCCTTCAAAGTATTCTGAATCTTCAGGGCTGGGGAGGACAGTGGGAGGTATATTTTGGTAGGGGCCATTTTTTAATGCTGTGACCTAGAACGTGTGACATACCTGAACTGTGACCATGAGATTATTCTACTTATTAAGGGAAATGAACCTTAGCCTCAAAAAGTTACTTTGGGAAACTGTACACATTGATTACATTGTACTATTAGTTACAGTAGTTCAGAGGTTCTGGTCTCTCTCTGCCTTTATTTTCTAACCCCTAATTACTACTCCATGTGATTACCCAGCTCCTGGTGTTTTTGGACTACATTTTGATAATCAGATCTACTCAGGGCAGCGCAGGTTTCCTACCTCTCAGGGTTTGCCATGAGTTCTAAAGGCCAGTGCCCAAGATGGGCTCCAAGATGATCTGAGCTATAGTTGCATTCTTGGGCTGCAAGCAGCCAGTTTCCCCAGGGGGGCAGTTCTGAGGCTGTGGCTCCGAGCCACGCTGTGCTTGTTTGTTACTTAGAGTAATACTCCTAGATTTGAAAAGAGAGGGCAATTAAAGTCTTTGATAACATTTAAAATGCCAAGTGCAGGGAAAAACTCTTAGACTAAAACTGCCAGGCTTACATTTACTAGTATAATGAGAAGTGAAGTGTTTTCTTTCTAAGGTCTTAGGGTAAATAAAATCTTCATGAGGTAGCCTCACAATTACAATTTCTTCCTTTCTGTTTGCTCTTGAGAAGATGCAGTCTGATGATGATGAACTAGGGATGTTTTGAATGTCTTCCCACTTGTTCCTAGATGTCCTAGCAAGGTGGTAATGGCCAGCTAGAGTCTGGTAATAAGGACCCTTGGTTATTTACTAAGAAAGAGTGTGCTGATTGCTGCTGGGATGTTGAGGCTCCCAGACCCCTCAAGGTTAGGGAATATGTTTGTATGTGTCAGTGTAAGTATCTTTCTGCACATTTGCATTGATAGGTTTATATCTCTAGTTGAAAATCATGAGTTCATATTAATACTCTCAAGTCTAACCTAGTAGTACTTTCTCACTTTCCAGTTTCCATAAATGTGGCTCCTTTCTCTAGCATTGAAAGCCTCCTCCTTTTCACAGTAAGTAACCTGCCTCCTGCCTTTGCTCAGTGCCATCCCCACTCTGGCCCTGCCTGGTGGCTTTGTGACTGGATTATTAAGGAAGGAAAGAAAGAAACATGTTTTCCTTGGACATTTAAGCATTTATTGTGAATTTAAACTAGTTAAATCATCTCAAACCTCTTAAGCTGCAGATTTAGTATGCCTGGTTATTTTTTACCTTTCAAAAACTCAAACAGTATATGAACCACACTTGTCCTGTCAGGTCGGTTCTCTAGAGAAACAGAACCAAGGAGAAATTAGGGTTTAGTGAAAGATTGGATTGATTGATCGATTGATTGATACGTAGGTAGGTAGCTGGCTAGATAGGCTTATGAGGAATTGGCTTACACAATGATGGAGGCTGAGAGGTCACACCAACTGCTGTCTGCATCCTGGAGACCCGGGAGATCCAGCCAGTGGTGTGATTAAGCTGGAGTCTGAAGGTGTGACTCCCAGTCTGAGGACAGGAGAAGACCCCAGTTCCAGCTCAGAAGTCAGGCAGAGAGCGAGAAAGGGAGTGAAATTCCTTTCCTTTCCCTTTTCTGTTCAGGCAGGCCATCCGCGGATTGGTTGAGGCACCTCCCATCCTGGGGAGAGCAGCTTACTGACTGAACCCACTGATCCAAATGCCAGTCTCCTCTGGAAACACTCTCATGGACACACCTAGAAATTATGTTCACTCTGGGTACCCTGTGGCTAGGTCAGGTCGACACAAAGCCATTATACTTGAATACAATGGTTAACACATTATTAAAACTAACTTACATAAATCTATTTTATAAGTCAACTTTTGAGCTTTATGTTAAAAAATGTGTTACTTTAGAAATGCTTTCCTACTTTTATGGCTGTATTTACTTTCCTATCTTCCTAGGGATTTAGTCATAACTCACTCTATTGCCTGGGCTTGTAGGAATCTTACACCAAGCCTAAAAGAAAAGGAATTCCTCAGGCCGAGAACGTCATCTAAGGGCACGGAGCCTGGCCACATAGTGCAAGTTGATTCAACCATGAGCTGTGGATTAAGTCTTTTTATAATTAATTCTTACTTGCTTTGTCATGGGATTTTTTACTATCTTAACATATATATTACTTTAAATTTTTGGAACTTGGTGTCTTCACCAGAAATGAAGTATTCTTTACCCTTGCATGGCCAGCATTGCATAACTTGTCCTGCCTTTAGGATACATTGATCTTGTCTATTAGCATTATTGAAAATTAGATGCGCCTTATCAATATCATGTAGGCTCAGTAGGATTATATTGAGTTTAATTAGTAGAATCATGTTGAGATTTTGTCTAAAGAATCATTAGGTCTGTGAGGCAAATTCTTTGAGACATATCTGCCTATTATCTTGGGCATGCTGTCATGTCCATTTCAATTTGTTACTGGGTCTAATCAGTGACTCTGTTTCTATTTGTTCCATATATGTGATGTGACCACTGATGATGATCAGTATTCCTTCTTCTTGTGCTACTTTTTCTTGTTTCTTGTATAGATAGCTAGAAATAAGCACATGCCCTTGCTTTATGAAAATATGTATTCTTAGAACAAAATACTCATGTAGAAATAATTCCTTAAGTGTGTCCATCCTTATTTTTGTCCTGTTTTTAAAGATTTTATTTTATTATTTATGAGAGACAGAGGCAGACACAGGCAGAAGGAGAAGCAGGCTCTGTGCAGGGAGCCCGATGTGCAACTCGATCCCAGGACCCCGGGATCATGCCCTGAGCCGAAGGCAAGACGCCAAACCACTGAGCCACCCAGGGATCCCTCCATTCTTATTTTGTATTAAAATTCATTTTTCTCTTTTGGGTATCACGAATCTGGCCTTTTGTAGATTCAGCTTCTTAACCATTTCCATCTCTTTTTCTTGGATGGTCAGAATTTTATAACTTGGCTAGTGGAAGCCCCAAGGTTACTCCTGTGTTTCCGGAGTTTTATGAATTACTGATCCTAGCAGGAAAGCATCCTTACTTTGTTACAACAATAGGATGTTTCAGACCATCCTAATTTTTTTTTTCCTGACCTAAAACATATATGTGCCTTTCAAGGAGTCCTGGTTCCTCTTGATGGAGAATGGAAATGGGGATCACTGTCTGGCATGAGGGGTGCAGAGGGGAGTTAGTGGACAAAAGTGCTCCTTCATGTTTAGTAGTGTTAGAGCTACAGGATGTGAAATCACCTTGGGTTTTCCATTTTAATCCTTTAGGTGGTTCTGTCCTATGTTTCTTACAGCATGAGTCTCATTGAACCAGAAACTTTTTCATTACACTTAGATTTACAGAGATCTTTTCCTTTAATGTAAGAATTATGAAGAGAGGGGGGTGGGCACACCTGGGTGGTCAGCAGTCGGTTAAACATCTGCCTTCTGCTCAAGTCCTGATGTCAGGGTTGGAGGATTGAGCCCCACATCAGGCTTACTCTGCTTAGCGGAGAGTCTGTTTCTCCTTTCACTCTGCCCCTCCCCACCATTCATGCTCATTCCTGCTCTCTCTCTCTCTCAAATAAAATGTTTAAATAAATATTAAATAAATAAAATCTTAAAAAAAATTATGAAAGGGGACCTGCCTGCCTAGGTATTAAAACACACTTGTAAGCAACAGTAATTTAATTGGGCTGATACTGGCCCAGAGTAGACACTCAATGGAATGGAATAGAAAGCCCAGAAAGAGACTCATTTATATATTGAAGTTACTTTATGATTGAGGCAGAATTTTATTTCACATCAGTTAGGAAAGGGTGTACAATTCAGTGAAAAGTTTTGGGGCCACTGGATCTAACCAAATACATATTCCTCTACCTAACACCATGTGTGAAACTGACTGCCAAATTAAAGTGTTCACATAAAAATAAAACTATAGAAGTATTAGAAGAAAGTATAATGGAATATTTTTATAATCCTGGGAACAGGAGGGGCTTTCCTAAACAAAACATCTAATTCAAAATCTATAATGAAGAAAACTGGCAGATAGAACTGGTGAAAATTAAATGTTTTTGCACAAAAAATTTTTTAAAGGTCAAAAGGAAAGTAAGATCTACATGTATAGCAGCAAATGAATAATACCTACATTGCATACATCTTACATACATGTCTACATCATAAAATGTCTCTATTAATCCAATAAAAAAGAACATATGTAACAGGCAGTTTGCAGAAGGAGAAATACAAATGGCCCATCAATATGTGGAGAGATGCTCAATGTCACTAGTATCAGCAAAAGGCAAATTAAGATGAGGTATTCTTACGCACATATTCACAAAGCAAAACTTAAATAGATTGATAATAGCTATTATTGGTGAGGATGTGGAGAAATAGGTACTATTACATAGACACCTTTGGTGGGAGTGCAAGTTGGTAAACCCAACTTTGAGACACACACACCTTCACACCCTCTGGAATGAAGATGGTCAAAAAGACAAAGAGCTATTGATAGGAGACTGGTGAGAATATAACATGGTACAGCCACTTTGGAAAAGCCTGGGAGTTTTTAGGATGTCAAACATAGATCTATTATGACTCAGCAATTCTGCTTCTAAGTATATACCCCCAAAACAAAGTCTTGCACACATGTTTGCAGCAACATTATTCATAGTGGCTAAAAAGTAGAAATGACCCAAATGTCTATCAGCCATTTGGTGGATAA